GATGTATGCAAACAACACATGTCTGGCAAGGTTATTGGTAAGCTTTCTGAATAATTTTTGTTAACATTTTTCAATAAGTAATAAAAGTTAATAACTATTAATTATGCATGTTTTGTGTAAATTGTACAAAAAAAAAAATGCTTGTCAAATGCTTTACGATATAATCAATTAGCACGATTTATGTTGCACTTGCTGCCACAAAGCTTGCCACCCGGCGGCAGTTCCGCTCGTTCCAGCTGCGGCTCCAAGTACCTGGACTAGCCTCAAGCGTGACTCATCTAAGAGACGTTCAGCAGCATCCATTGGTAAACACAGAGTTCGTGCTAAACGAGACCTTCTGCAGTTTGGGTTGACGCATTGGAACCTGCGACTCAGTCGAGATGAACAAAAAAAAACCAATACTAAAAAAAAGTACAGCCACAAAAAATGGAAGAAATAAAATAAGCCCAGAAGGGAAATACTCGCATGTAAAACCAAAGTTTGACGTAATTAAAAAAGGGTGCGTGGAACGGCAATGGAGTAACATGGGCTTTTGTGTGTACTTAAGCCATAAAATCCAACGGCAACAACAACCACAGTAAAAACTGAATAAAAATAACGAGCTAATAAAAGCGCCACAGCAACAGGTGTGAATATGTGTGTGTGTGTGTGTATGTGTGTGCTGAAAGGGCCGAGTTGGCACATTAAATTTGTTGCGGCTGATGACGCGACAACAACATTGCTATCAATGAACAATGAGTATTAATTTTCATAAATAATCACATTAAAAATATTACTTATAAGATTTGTTGTTGTTATTGTAGTTGTTGTTGCTGTTGCTGTGGTTTTTGCATTGGTTAGCTAGACAGAGGCTTGAGTCATCTTTAACATGGTTAAAAACGTATTATTGAAGACGGAAATGAATGCCAGGAAAAAAAAACAACGAAATTGTATACAAATACGCAAATAAAAAAACGTTATGCATGGAGGTAAACAGCTGCCAAAGAATAAATTAAATTTATTATAAGACCCAGGCACAGGCGCTGGCCAACACTAGACGGGCAGGCAGGTGCGCGGGCAGGCGGCGAGGCGGTCGTTCTGGACTGGCAGAAGAATCTTTACACACATCAACATCTTAGCTGTGTTTAAATTTAAACACTGAGCTCAGCTATTCTGGCATGCCAGCACCATAACCCGAAGATAGCTGCGAAAGGCCTTATCAGCTTACGACTGTTTCTATGGGGCTTACTTTCCATCACAGCATAGTCGTAGTAGCTGGAACTGAACTGGTCTCAAATTACTGCCAAAGCGTACAGTATTTCATTTGTTTTTTATATACCCTGTACACATTTAAGTGGGGCATAATAAAGCTGTGCCAATGTATGTTGCCGACCGACCAGTCCGTTTTTTAAATTTTTGAATAGTTGTGGGACCCCATATTATACATAATTTCCTCTTTAGCAGAAATCGATTAATATCGATTTCAATCACTTCCTCTTTGAAAATACCAAATTTCAAATATAGGTTCACAGTTTGTTTAGAAGGCTTAGAAATATTTCATTTATGAATATCTCGCTGTTCCTCCTAAAATAAAATCAGTGATAGATCCCTACTTTTTTGTTTCAAACCTTCTTCTTGCTCTGCAAATTGTATAACGAACTCACATTAGTGCATAGTTTAGTGTATAGGGTATTCTCTAGTCGAATACAATCGACTAGAGCACTCATTAGTTTTTTACCTCCTTTTTTTAGTTTTCAACAACAATTTGGCAAACAAAACATTTGCGACGCGACCAAAAAATGATAAATGATGCGCAGTTCTGCAGTTGCCCAAAAAATAGTTGTGTTTAACGTATGTTTTAATAAAGCTTAACTAATTAAACACACTCGCACACACACACACACACACACAAGCAGGTGTGAGCTTAAGCACACAGGTAGTACATATTTGCGTGATATAATATAAAAAATATAATATATAATATAAAAAATTTATTAAATTTGTAGTTTATATTATAAAACATAATAATTAAACAAATATTGCATCAAATTTGGCATTTGAGGTTTTTGAACTTGTCGAAGGACGGAAATAAAAAACTATATTTTCAACGCATCAACATTGACGAGCTAGTTAATGATAGTTTATATTAATAGAGATGTCTAAATCTTAACTTTAAGCTCAGGGTGAATCCATGCATGGCATTAAAACTACAAGAAAACTTCCACTAATGCGCCGTTAGATTGCTGAGGCAGGGTGAATTGTTCTTGAATAGATCCGCAAGGGTAAACAAATTCAGATAGGTGGACAGAAATGTGGCCAATAAGCCAAAGATCAACACTCCCATGGTGCAGGATATGTCGCATTCCAAGCGATGCAACAGACGCACCAGACGCAGCCAACAGCCTTGCGTTGTATGCGGCTTGGCCGCCACCAAAAGCGGCTCCATTTCCAGCTCAATGGGATCGTAGTTGAGATCCAGCGGCAGGCTGCCATAGCTGGCCTCGGCAGCAATTCGCTGATGCACGCGCTCCATGCGCCGAATGCGACGGTACAGCAAGGGCGGCAGAATAAACACCAAGGGACCAGTGATAGTGCCACCAACCACATCCATGAGCGTATCAAAGCTGGGCACAAACTCGGCCACGAGCACCTCCAGGGCCAGCACACAGGAACGTATTAGAATGCGTTTGCAGGAAAGAGCTAAAAATGAAAGAGGTTAAGACACTGCTAGAGACTGGACTATCATTCCTTGACTCACACTCGGGCAACTTGAAGAAGTTCTCGATCTGCAGAAACATGGCCGAGCTGGCCACAGTCACCGAGAAGCACAGCTGCAGCGACATCAGTATCAGCATCACATAGAAGGGCACGCTGGTGGGAAGCGAGTGCAGCAGATTGCTGGCAATCAGGGCTCCGAACTTGTAGGCGGCTATGATGGCACCAACAATGGCCACACTGCAAGTGACTAAACAGATTGAGATCAACGTGTTGCGGCATTTAGTCCAATAAGTCCAACATGTCTCCACTTACTGGCAATGCCAACGAGCGCCGCCCAGGACACTTGCGATTTGCGTTTCATATCAATTTGCAGCGTCAGCAGCATGGGATGGATGTCGAACTGGAAGGCCAGAATGCTGTAGCTGCTCAGGATAGTCAGAAAACCAGGTAGCTCTGTAAAACCAAAACCAATATATACATATTCATTGATATTATTTAGTCGGGGGCTTGCGCACCCATCGAGATTCCTTGAAAAGGTGCTCCAATCGCAGGCGCATCGAGCAGGCAATACCAAAGCAGCCCCACAATTATAATCAACACACAAGCGGCTATAATGGCCAGGCCTCTGATAGATGAGAAAATAAAGAAAAATGTTAACTAGCTGAGAATAATTACACTCGGATTGCAGAAGATTCAATACCCTTGCAGACATATACAAAAGTTACTTAAGCACCTTTATATGAAAATAGTTCGATATTGAAAGTATTTTACTCAGATTTTATGAAGCACGGTATTTGTTAGATAGTTAAGTTATCTTGAAAAATAAAACAGTTGTTCAAAAACATCCTTAATTTTCGACAGCTCTATAAGTATTAGTCCAAATTAAATAAATATTTCCTAATCTCATTATTTTTGAGTATACTAAGAATGTCCATCAAAACATATAAGATTTTCTTCTCAACAACGAGAATATGGTCTCAAATTCCAGGTGTATGGATGTTGGATTATTTTAGGCGAAGAGCATAGTTGACAAAGTAAGGTTGATTATAACTATATATTATAAAATTCTGTTTCTGTTCTGTTCTCTGCTCAAATTAATCGTTCGCTTTACAAATTTTTTATGGAAGGTATATAATGTAGTGTTCCAGTCCTACCACATGCAACTAATTTAAAGATATATTGCAATAGCCTTAAAATTAAGAGAATATTTTCATTTGAATTTTTGGAAGCAGTCAGACGACTACATAAACGTAAATGACTATATCCACTCCCTACGGCAACTTGCTCAAGAACAAATATACATAATTAAATCGGATATGTCTCCTATGATGCATTAGGACCTAAAATGCCATTGCATGTAAAAAGATCGTATTACCGCATGTGCTTGGGACTGCCAAGCCACATGAGTGGACAGATTACGAGACCCACAACAATGGCCCAATAGCAGTAGGAGATATTGTACTGGCCAGCGCTCATGCGGAGCACGACGGCCTCCAGATTCTCGGCAGCCATGACAATGGTGGGCACAGCCATGGCAAAGATGCTCAGGTCCAGCAGCACCGATACCAACAGGCTCACATAGGGTCCATAGGCCAGTTCTGCGAGTGCAGCATAAGGGTAGTTGCGTTTCTGCAGTATCGAGGGATCCAAATACTCGGCCATAGTCCAGCATTGCGACAGCAGAAAGGATGTGTACATTTGCAGAAAGATGATGGACAAAACTAGCAGCAAGCCAAAGTAACCCAGGCGAACCAGCAGTGAGGGCAGCGTCAAAAACGGAAAGATACCAAACAGGTCCACCACATAGAGAATGGCAATGAACAAGGAAAGGCTCTCCGGCTCATCCTCGTAGGCACGAAAGTGCGGCAAGGCGCTGAACCGAGAGCGTCGCAAAAATGGTAGCTGATCGTGTTGATGCGACGGCTTCAGCAGCACGGGCGAATGGCGCTTGGGCAACGCAAAGGACGGTGCTCGAGAGGGGCGTGGCGGGGGCTTGACATTAGAACGCCGAAAGAAAAACATTCACTCAAGCTACGAACCAAACGCGGCGACTGAAAGCGCGCAACTGATGGTGCTTCCAAGTCCAGAATCAAGCAATGCCAAGCAGCTTGCAACAGTTTGTCACATGATATGCCAACTGGGCAAGGGTGTGCAGCAACTGGGAAGCCCTCTCGATGCAATGTCAATGCACGTAGCAAGAACGCGCTTCAATAGAAAGTAGCAAGTTCAATGCCTTCCAGTTGATGGACTGACCCAAAGAGGAGAAAGAAATGAGCCTTCTTGTCACTAGGAGTTAAGCCACATTTAACCAGTAAATAACATTTATTTATTTTTACAATATGATATCTACAACACCAAAAACATAGTCCATTGTAAGTATCCAGCCTGTATTAATCCGTAATTTCTCGTTTGAGCACTTCAGACCTGCTGCACTTGGGCAATCTTCTGTTTCTTGGCCTGCGTTTGCTGCAAGAGTTTCGATTGATATCATTAGCTAAGCTCTATAAATGTAACATCTTTTACTTGCCTCCAAGGCGTCGTTGCTGCCGTTGTCTTTGGCCTGTACTGTTATGACCTGCACGGCCTGACCCGGTCCTGAGCGGTTCAGGAGCAGCTTGGTGGTGGCCCGTGTCGTTTCGCCACAGCAAAAGACGCGTGCTGTCTGCTGCCTAAGCGGACTGTCCGATTCATCCATTAGCTGTTCCGATTGATCATTGTCCAATTTCACTGAATTCTTGTTATTATCCATGTAAACGCGATTGAAATTCAAACGATTTGGACGCACTGCATCCGTTATATACTTACTACAATCCATCATAAATGTATGCGTGTCAGTACAACAACAACAACAACAAGTTATAGCGTGTTATATGAATGGGTTATTCTTTCAAAGAAATTGGGTGCAACCTAAGCTGATACGTACACTGGAACACCATAAACCAGCAGGCGTATAAGAAGTGTACATAAGTGTAGTTATGTATTAACAAAAGAGTGTATATTTACATGCAAGAGTAAGAAAATTGGCAAACTATAAATTTAAAAATTTCTATTATGAATTCTCTGCTTTTGCACACTCACACTCCATGAACAGGCGCCACTGCACGAGTAGATCTTGAGTTGATTGCTGATAGTGGTTATATTGTTGCTGATGGTGGTTTTGGTGTTGGTGGTGCTCCTGCGTTTGTTGATCTGTTGGTGCTATTTCTAAATGGTGCAAGGTGCAGTGCAGACAGCGTCATGATTTGCCCTCAGGCGGAGTATCCTGCCTTCAGTATGAAATCATTGCAAAAGAGAGAATTACAAATAGTTGGTTGTGTTGCAATTGCATGGTCGCTATGTTCTGGCAGAGTGTGGCTGAGTGTCGATGGCAGTGTCAGGATGCAGCAAGGGGCTCTAACTAAGTCCAATCAGTGTACGTATCAAGTTTTAAGCGTGGTGCCAAAAATGAATGAATTGTGGGCTGAACAAACGTTGGCACTTACGATTTCACATTGTACAACCCCTGACGGTTTATATAACTGAGCACCAGCTCATCTAGAAGGTACTTGACCGATTCACCTCGATTTAGGAGACGGCGCACCAGAGAAGAGCTGACTTCGTTGGGCACCCAGTTTGTAATAAGCGTTATGTTGCGCTACAAAATTAAATGGGTATTAATATAAGCATTTCGTTTAGCATTTTGCACACTCACCTGATATTTGGTTAGAATATCCGATTCAAATATGAATTTCTCAGGATTTGAGCCACAGCGGGATATGACAACTAGTCCATGGTTCGCAACAATTTCTTCAATCTAGTAGAAACTTGGAATTATTTATTATTTCTCAGCTAAGCAACAAGTGTCTTACATCCTCGTTGGCCCACAAACCGGGCACTGCAAAAGATTCTAGTAAATCGGCGCCACATAGCAGCTTTAGACTTATGGGATCACGACGTTCGCGAAGACCGAGTGGCAACCAACCAGGTAGTAGGCCATTTTGCTCCTCATCGCCCGGCGAGTTGATATAGTTGTTTAAGTAGTTCTGGTGATGCTGCAGCACGGATTGTGTGCGCATCCATTGCGGCTGGTGTACCTCCCAGTCGGATAAACGTATCCAGTTGGAGGTCTGAACCGCAAGCTTTATCATGGCGCAGCGATCCATCGAAGGCGCCAGTCCTTTCTTGCCATAGGAATCATGTGTGGGTGATATAATGCCACCCACAACCTTATGTGTACCACGAAGCTCAAAGTAATCTCGTGCTATCTCTGTTTAACATGAGATTCAATGTCAATGTCAATATCGATTATCACCGGGCCGTCGTAAACAAATTACTTACCGAACAAACGCAAATGCATAGGCGTTGGAGGGCTAAAGCATCCACACGCTATGAGCGCTACGCGTGGCAACATACAGGTTTTTTCCTCAATGAAGCCGGACATTTGCCTTAATAATGGGCAGGAGCCACCGAAACGTATATTAGTAATTCAATAACTTCCTCGTCTTAAGTAATTTCGCCATCTGTTTACGCCGCACCACAACCTCTCTATTCGCTGCACAGTCGATATATTTATTATCGTGAGCTGCCAACCTGTGCAAATATGAGCAAGTTTGTACTTATTCGATAAGTTTCAGAACTCGTAGTACCTGTTATCGACTATAAAATTAAATATGGCGTCGTCGTGCTAAACTGCCTTTGGCTCTGGCTCTTTAACGAAAACTTTTTTGTAAAAACATTTATCATATTTATTCGTATACGTTGTGCGCTGTTAATCGTTTGAACGGGCGTGTGCTGTTTTTGCAGTTCGGTGCAACGTGCCGCCATAATCTTAGCCTTTTAAGTTAGACAAGACGAAGTGCCGAGTGCAAAAACAACGGAGAGGAAACGACGTCGACAAAATGAAAATGCATTTGTGAATTTTCGCCCCAACACTTGACTCAACATACACACAGACACACACGCACATAAGCCCAACGAACCTCAGCAAAGGATAGGAAAAAGCACGCGGCCAGCATAGGCCATAACGAAGGCCTTGGATACGAAGTAGCAGCAGAAGAAGCACCCAACACCAACAGAACACAATGGCGCTAGTGACAGTGCAGCGCTCGCCAAGTGTGGCGGGCTCATGCTCGAATTCGGTGAGTTGTATGAATTTATATATAAATTGTTATGTCTATGCAGTTAATGTGAAGTAGGAAGTGGGCGCAACGGGCGGCCTGCAAAATATGTGAGTTGCCCCATTTCTATGTAAGGTGCAATTTTACAGCTGCAACCAGCTACGCATTTGTTTATTTGTTTGTATGTGTTGTGTGTGCTGTAATCAAGCACTCACTCGCTCGCTCGCGCTCTCTCACTCTCTCTATGATTTTGCTTTGTTTTGGTTACGCGTTGCTAATGTAGCTCATTTGAGTTGGGTGGTGTGTGTGTGTGTGCGCGTGCTATGGCCACCGCCTATAAACACTTCCTGTGCGTGTTCCGTGCTCGTCAGTGATCCTTTTGTTGTGTATACGTGTGCTTCTTGCCCATATGGCCAATTTATTTAAATGCGAATATCATCAAAGGCGCTCCAGTCTCGCTCTACGCGCCGCTCTCTGACTGTTTGTCTTGTTGTGGGCGTTTTGTCAGCGTCATCATCAGTCGCGCCACAATTCGCGCATCTGTTTGTTGTTTGATGTGGTAGTTGTTGTTGTTGATTATATATCCAATACCTATTGAAAATGGGTGAAAAAAGGGTATAATTGTTTTGAGCTAATATATTTAGCAGTCGGTTTGCTTCAGACACTTTGAGAACTAGATAGTGCGGGAACCATTATGGCTGGATATTTAAAATTTAAAATATAATATTCCTCTGTACCAAACTTCTTATGGGATGTTTTTAATTATTAACAACTCCTCTCTTATCAGCCTTGGGTTTTTGAGCATATATCGTAAAATATAAGAGGTATAGAGATAGGCTCTCGTCAGGTTTTCGAATGTATACTATGGCAGATCGAATCTGATTACAGGGTATCTATTAATTGGCAACCGTCGACTAGAGTGCTCTTTCCTCTTGTTGTTATTTATTGTTGTAACTCAAGCAAATCCGAGCAGACGTCGCGACGTCGCAGCTGCCGCACCATGTCTCGCGCGCTCTCTTCCATTTTCAATAAATTGAAAATTTTGCATTGCCTTATTTGTAGTTTTGTCAACGTCGCTCTGTGATTTTTCTTGCTGGTTCCGTTAGCGCAACGACGGCAACGTCCTCGCCCCCCCAAAAATAGTTCTCAAGACCTTGGCTACGGCCTGCCCTTGGAATTTTTATTCATTAGACAATATTGTAAACATAAGCTACCCACCATGTAGGTGGCGACGCTCGCCTGCTCTCCGCTTCTCTCTCTCTCTCTCTCTCTCTCTCTCTCTCTCTCTCTCACTGCAAAGCAATTCATCATCAAAAGTTTGTTTGGTTACGAATTTCACTTAACTCCAAAAATGTCAGAATCAGATATTATATTTTGTATACACCGTTGGGTGAGTCTGAGTCACTTCGCTGCAATCGCAATTCGCGGAAGAAGTGAAAGAAATTGAATAAGGAAATAAACAACATATGGAATTTATTTACAGGATGGCGAGGCTGATGACGATGAGGGCAACAGTAACAATAAAAGCGAAAGGAGTGAATGCTATTTTGCTGGCAAAGGCACCGCTCTGGTGTTGGCACTCAAGGACATACCGCAACGCGCGGAGCGTCGCCTTAGCACTGACTCGACGCGATCCAGCAATAGTACGCAAAGCAATAACTCGGACATACAGCTGCATTTACAGTCCATGTTCTATTTACTGCAACGTGAGGACACCTTGAAAATGGTGAGTACAATGAATATCTATTTATTGGACTATCAATTGCTCATACAGCTCTTATCTTTACAGGCTGTCAAACTGGAGTCGCAGCGTTCGAATCGTACTCGCTACCTTGTGATTGCCTCGCGGAGCTGTTGCCGCACGGCGGCTAGTAGTGAGCGACGCACTAAAATCATGCGTCATAATTCTGTTAAGTCGACGGCTAGCGCAACGCCAGCACCGCCCGGAACACCTGTTGCGCAACGCCAGCTATCCGTGGATAGCCACAAGACACAGCAACTCGCTCAAGAGGAAACGGCGAAGCGTCTAGCTATTAACGCCAATCGTCAAAGCCTAAAATGTGATGTCGATGGTCGGGATACGGCAATTGCTGGCGCCGGCGACAGCAACAAGAATACCTCGGGCATGGAGGAATCATGTCTGCTGGGCATTGATTGCAACGAGCGGACGACCATTGGCCTAGTCGTGCCCATACTCGCGGATACCACAATTCACCTGGACGGCGACGGGTGGGTGTTGAATTAACTCTCCCAATTTTGTCATTTAACTTAATCTTATTCAATTTTTGCAGTGGTTTTAGCGTCGCCGTCTACGAGAAGACCCACATATTTAAGCCCGTATCGGTGCAAGCTATGTGGTAAGCTATTTTCTCAAAGAACTCTAAATGCGCATATATTTCATTCATTCTTTGGTCTTATAATTATAGGTCAGCGCTGCAAACGCTGCACAAAGTGTCTCGAAAGGCTCGTGAAAACAATTTCTATCCAAGCGGACCATCGCACGATTGGCTATCCATCTACGAAAGTCGCATAGAGTCGGATCAGTCGTGTTTAAACGAATGGAATGCCATGGATGCCCTCGAGAGTCGGCGCCCGCCCTCACCAGATGCCATAAGAAACAAGTAGGAAACTAAACTAAACTTGTGCCAGTTGCCAGCAGATTTAACTGCTTTGCGAATCGTTATAAAATTTTGTACAGAACATGATCATAGATTATGTTTTAAATCTGTGCCTCTGTTGTTTGCAGGCCAACCGCCAAGGAGGAAACTGAAAGTGTCATTAAAATGAAGCTCAAAGCAATCATGATGTCGGTGGATTTGGATGAAGTTACCTCCAAGTATATACGCGGTCGCCTAGAAGATTTATTAGATATGGATCTGGGCGAGTACAAGTCATTTATTGATGCCGAAATGCTGCGTATATTGGGTCAAATGGATGCGCCCACTGAAATATTTGAGCACGTCTATTTGGGCTCGGAATGGAATGCTAGCAATTTGGAGGAGTTGCAAAAGAATGGGTAAGTTCAAAAAGTAAACCAAGTTTGTTAATGCTGAAGCCAGCGAATATATATATTTATTTTCCACACAGTGTTCGACACATTCTGAACGTGACCCGCGAGATTGATAACTTCTTTCCGGGCACCTTTGAGTACTTCAATGTACGCGTCTATGACGATGAGAAAACGAATCTTCTTAAGTACTGGGATGACACATTTCGCTATATAACTCGCGCCAAGACCGAAGGTTCCAAGGTGCTGGTGCACTGTAAAATGGGTGTAAGTCGATCTGCTTCTGTGGTCATTGCTTATGCAATGAAGGCATACAAATGGGAGTTCCAGCGCGCCCTGGAGCATGTAAAGAAGCGTCGTAACTGCATTAAGCCGAACAAGAATTTTCTCAATCAGTTGGAAACGTACAGCGGAATGCTGGATGCAATGAAGAATAAGGAGAAGCTGCAGCGTAGCAAGAGTGAGACCAATCTGAAAAGCACAAAGGACGCACGCCTTCTACCGGGCAGTGAGCCAACGCCACTGATACAGGCGCTCAATCAGGCCAAATCGAAATCAACTGGCGAGTCGGCCGCTGAGCAACAGGACAGCAGCGATCGTGGCCAGTATCGTCGCAGCAGCGCACAAAAACAGCGTCGCATGATGCGTCGCTCGAGCAGCACATCGCCCAAAACACAATGTGCCGTTGAAGTGATCAAGCAGCAAAGCCAATCTATGGAGAATCTAACGCCAGAACGTAGCGTGGCGGAGGAGCCGAAAAACATGCGTTTTCCAGGCAGTAATGGCGAAAACTATAGCGTCACCCAGAATCAGGTGCTGCACATACAGAAGAACACGCCCTTGTCAGTTCGTACGCGTGTCCATGATCTCGAGGCTCATCAGGAGCCACCGCGTCCCAGTCTGCTGTCGCAGGCCCCAGCCCAGACGCAGCCAGCGCAATCACAAGGACCTGTGTGGACCTCACTGTCCAAGCTGATTACGCAAACATCTTTTTCGCGTCGCGATTCCAGTACTTCGGAAGTATTCACCTCGACTGTGGGGCAGGCGGATGAGCGGGAGAAACGTCATCGACGCAAAACGCAATCCTGGACGGAATCGTTTGGACCCAGCGGTGGGATCATTCTTGACGCAGTGCCCCAGCAGTCAAATGTAACACCTAGTGCCGTACTTCGCACGCGCGGTCCGCGACAGCGCGAGCTGCCCTCACGCCATGCCAGCTGGGGATCAGGCGACAATCGCAGCAGCTTGCCGCTGCGTACAAGTTCCTGCAGCTACTATGACAGCAATCGCAACACCACAGCCATTTTCGAGGGTGAAATTCAGGATCTGAAGCGCAGTAGCAGCAGCACCACTACGAGCAACTGCAATGCAAGCGAATCGCAGCTGGGCACAGTAAAGCGCACCAAACAGAAATTGGAGGAGAACACGACACTCAAGAAACGCTGCCAGGAGAACGAGCTGGATGATCTAGACGCGGCGGCAGCGGTGGCGGTGGCGGGTGAAAAGAAATGTGCCAATCTGTTTCGCAGCGCTTCCTCGGCGAGCACTACGCGCCAGCGCCAGCCATTGCGCTGCAACAGCGAGGAGCTCATGCACACAAGCGATATCGAGAACAAGAACACAGCAGCCGATCTAGTAGTGGTAATGCGCACTCAAAGCCTTGCTGTGGCCGAAGATCAGCGGATTTCGGGCAATGTGCAAATACTCAAGCAAAACTTTGAAGCCAAAGCGGTAGTGGTGGGTGTGCCGGGCATTGGCAGCACAGCTGCCGGCGCTAATGTTACTGCAACTGTTCCAATCAAAAAAGCGACACATCAATCACTGCCCTCTTCACCGGTTGCTCAGCATGCGGATCATGTGTTGGTGGACAATGTGGCTGCAAATACAACGACGGCCAAGTCGTCGTCCAGCACATCGGCCAACTCGTCCGACTCCAGCGTAAGCGAAACTTGTGATCGTAATGTAAAAGGTCTAGTGCATAAATATCAAAACACTTCCTATAGTAACAATCCTGCTGCGGCAACGCCAATAACCACAACACTGCCGCCACCCACCAACAACATAACCACCAATACCACCACCGCAACCATCAGCGGCACCATAAGCGTCCCTAGTTTGAGGCAACGCCCTCGCTCCTACTACGATCGATCGCTGTCAAACAGAGCACACGATTACAGCGAGAATCGACCACCGCCCGCACCTGCCCGACACAATGCCACTAATCTAAACCAGCTGCAACAGAATCAGCACAACACCATAGCTCATCTGCAACAATCTGAGCAGCAACAACAAGTGCAACATCGCCGTCTAGCGCAGCATGGAAAGACCCATCCACTCACTAGGCTAAGTTTACCAAAGCAAAGCTTCAACACCGCTGCATACAATACAATGTAAAGGAATGCTCTTTCTTACTACACACAATTTCTCTCTCTCGCTCTCTCTCTCTCACTCTCTCGCGGACACACACACACACGCATACACACACACACACACACACAGACACCGACACCCATTTTGACACAGAACTCATAAAAATAGTAACTAAGCAGTCCTAAAGCCATTATTATTTTTGCTTTTCAGCTCGACACTTGCCTATTATTTGTATTTATTTTATGTATTTTTGCTTTTATTCACTGTTCACGTTGCGTTACATTTGTAACTCTCTCGCCCACGCGCCCCCCTTCTCTCACTCACTGTCTGTCTCTATACATATATCTCTTTAAAGCTCTGTACAATCCATCCATTAAATTGTTTATTTGTGAAGCGTTTGTTTTAGTGATCCTATCCACAGAACCCACATCCATTTCAACATCCAATACCTAAATGTTTTGTGAAAAGTGCCGTCAGGGACGAAAAAAAAACAAAAACAAACTATGAAAATGAAACTGTATTTTGTATTTTTAAATTACTTGTAACTATATACATATATTTATTTTATATTATGCAAGAACTGCCTACGAATAAATGATTTATTGTATATATATGTATGTATGTGTATACACATATGTATTTCATGTGGTGACTTGTGTTTGTTCATTCGTTCGCTTCTGACTCCACCTGTGCCTGTGCCCGTTAGCTGACTCAGTCGCATTATATTTGTCTGTCTGTATGTGTTTGTATGTATTTATTATGTTTGTCGTCCAATGAACTTTGCCATCAGCTTTTACGACCAAGTTTGTATTTGCAGCCTTTACCGCATGATAGCCACCTTTCGCTACTCCTGGGCCGAGTGTAAGAAGTGAGCCACCGAACCTTGATGTCACCCCACCTATGTTCTTTTAATGAACTATCCCCGAAACATATTTAATTAATTAATTTATAAAATTTGATATGTCAATTAACTCGCGATACCAATATTAATAACTATATTTATTTTATTGCCACCAAGCGAAGTGAGTCATTGTGGGTATGTGTGTGTGTCAGCCACATGCAGCTGCGAGGGGCAGTCGTAAAAGCCAACTTCGAATTAATCAACAGGCCCACGGCACATATTGAGTCGTAATTTTAAAATGTATCAGATTACTCAGGTATACTTAGCGTCATCGCTCACTGAGTTTGAAAATAAATTGCACAACTGTTGGCTGTTTTCAATTATCGTTAACAAAATTACACCTAGATTTAATATTATTTGCATGTACAAAGAACATACAATTTAAATTGCCGCGGTTCTGGCGAAAGTTTTGGTGTATGTGTGTAGTATTTTCTTAAGAACAGTTGGCAGCACTAGCTGTTTATAGTATTTAAAAAAATAAGAAAAGAAACTGAAAACTCAATGCTGTAATGAGCTTGAACACACTGCTTACATCGTAAACATATTGTCAATAAAAAATTAATTTATTAAGTAAGCATTTTAATTAACCAAACAAATAACATGCATTTAGTTAAAAAAGAAGTATATTTGCAGTTGCTAGATTCGGTCACACTACAAATATCTCACACAACACAGCCACACACATACACCAATACACACGCACACCAATGCGCACTTGACTTCCACAGTTTCTTTATTTTGTGCAGAAAAAAAAGTACTTAGTATTGCCGCTAAAGTAACGAAATTTATTGTGTACGCGATTACGAATGCTGCCAAAGTGTAATTAATAATGCCAGCAGCTGCTACAAACAGCAGCTAATTAAATATTTTGTTACGGACTTGGATTTGGAGTTGTTGTCATACCCATCCCCTCCGTTACGATTGTACGTGGCGTTTGCGAAACCGAATCTGAGTCTGAATCGGTCAACAAGCGGTCGAGGTCGTAGGCAAGCGAGTGTTAATAGATTTGTATTGTCACGGTGGGCACAAGCACGGCAGCGGGGCAGACCGATTGTGAGCATGGCGGACGCTGCGGCAAAGCCAGCGGCCGAAAAGGGCGGGGGCGATCCCCAAATGAAGGGCTGGCTGCTAAAGTGGACCAACTACATCAAGGGCTACCAGCGTCGCTGGTTTGTGCTATCCAAGGGTGTGCTGAGCTACTACCGCAACCAATCGGAGATCAATCACACATGCCGCGGTACGATATCGCTCCATGGTGCGCTCATACACACCGTGGATTCGTGCACGTTTGTCATCTCAAACGGCGGCACACAAACCTTCCACATCAAAGCGGCCAATGAGGTCGAGCGGCAGTCGTGGGTGACATCGTTGGAGCTGGCCAAAGTGAAGGCCATACGGGCCATCGAGAGCGAAGAGGAGGAGGCCGAGGAGACGGCGCAGGTGGTGCCCAGTCAGGAGATCAACACTGTGGTGCGCGACCTCACCGAACGCCTGGAGAACATGCGCACATGCTACGATCTGATAACCAAGCACGGCGCAGCACTTCAGCGAGCACTAAACGATCTGGAATCAAATGAGGAGGAATCGCTGGCGAGTCGTACAAAGATTGTCAACGAGCGCGCCACACTCTTCAGGATCACATCAAATGCAATGATCAATGCGGGCAACGACTATCTGCGATCGGCTGAATCGCAGGGCCACAAATGGTCCAAGATGTTACACCATGAGCGCGAGCAGCGCCAGCGACTGGAAGAGATCATTGAGCAGATGGCCAAGCAGCAGTCGCAAATGGAGCAGGCTGCCGTGCTAGTGCGCCGCAACAAGCCGCTGCCGTTGGCATCGTCCAGCACAACCATGTCTATAAACTCAGGGCCCCCCGGCACGAATTTAACCTCAGACGACGAGACCGAATTTTTCGATGCCGAGGAATACGGATACGGCCGAACAGGCGAATCGCCAATAGACGGCACGTTCATACTGAAGCTTAACAAGCGACGCAGCAGTTCCGAGGATCACGTCGGCTCGGAGGGCCAGACAGGCAGCTCATCGGAAAGCGACGAGCAGAAGCGCACCATTAAAACCGTACAGCAAGTGTGTCTTATCAGCGCGGTACGCGTGGCCTCCGGTGACGACGACGAGGCAGACAAAGTTGATCGCGTCGCGAACGCTAACCCAGATGATTTACCAAGTAACAGTTCGAGGGCGAGCGGGGGTAGCAAGAAGCTGCTGCCGGCCAGGAATCGGCGCACGAGTGTGCCGGACAAGCCTAACTATCCGCTTAGCCTTTGGTCAATCATGAAAAACTGCATTGGCAAGGATCTGTCCAAAATACCTATGCCCGTTAATTTCAACGAGCCGCTCTCCTTGCTACAGCGCCTGGTCGAGGATTATGAGTATGCCGAAATACTGGATCATGCTGCATCGTGCACCGATGAGAGCGAACAGTTGGCCTATTTGGCGGCCTTTACGGTATCCGCATATGGCACGACAGCGATTCGCACTGGCAAACCATTTAATCCATTGTTGGGTGAGACATACGAATGTGACCGCACGGACGATCTAGGCTGGCGCTGCTTGGCTGAACAGGTTTCACATCATCCGCCCGTAGCTGCTCTGCACTGTGAGGGAAAGGATTGGGTATGCTGGCAGGAGTTTTCCATGACGAGCAAGTTCCGCGGCAAATATTTGCAGGTAAGTTTGCCTCATAGTTGACCAAAAAAAGTTATCCATCCGTTTTTTTTTAGGTTAATCCGCTTGGCGGGGCATACGTTTTGTTCCCCAAAAGTGGCAATCGCTACTCCTGGCACAAAGTGACAACCACTGTGAATAACATTATCGTCGGCAAGCTCTGGGTGGATCAGCACGGAACGATGGAGATAGAGGGCACCAATGCAGCGCATGGAAACAAGTGCATCCTAAACTATATACCCTACTCCTATTTCAGCCGTGAGGTACAGCGCAGCGTGAAAGGCGTGGTAGTCAATCGCAATAAGGAGGCTAAGTGGGTGGTACGAGGTACCTGGGACGACAAAATCGAAATAGCACCCGTCTTGCACACCAGCGGCACAGCGGAGGGTCCTACCTACACCACTGGCGAGTACAAGGTTGCATGGAAGCGTCGCCCGGCTCCACCCGAGTCGGAAAAGTATTACAACTTCACCACATTTGCCTGTCAGCTTAACGAGCCGGAAGAAGGTGTAGCGCCCACGGACTCGCGTCTTCGTCCCGATCAGCGACTTATGGAGGAAGGTGCATGGGAGGAAAGCAACAAGGAGAAAGTGCGCCTTGAAGAGAAACAGCGAACGGCGCGAAGAGAACGTGAAACTGAGGCCGAACAGGCTGCTGCCGAGGGACGACCCTACCCGGTGTACGAGCCCATGTGGTTCAAGCGTGAAAAGGAAGAGGGTAGCGATAATTTTGTGCACGTCTGCAAGAACACATACTGGGAGGCCAAGGCGGCTCAAAACTGGAGCGGCTGTCCAGATATCTACTAATAGCTGAACTCTATGTGAATTATTTCAATACGCAAGCCTCGAAACTTCGCTCTCAACCCCTAAACAAAAAAAAAAAAACAAAAAACAAAAAAAGAAACAACTCCCCAAGACACTCACAGTCAAGCATAAATAACTTTTACTGAACTATAAACTAATCGATGTAATAACATTTTTTCAACTACTTAGTGCATATATAAATTAATTACTGTAAAGTAGCTGCAAATGTTGGAACTGAAATGTTTTTATGGCAAGTTAATCTCAAAATCGCATCGCATTGATTGCGTTTATCAAATTGTATTTTGTTCGGTTTTTTATTTAATCTTTGCTTTAATCAGTTAATTACTTATGGCACATAGACCTTACCATCCAAAAATTAAACATACATATACATACATATATCTAATCTATATACATATGTAGACATGTGCAAGTGAAAAGCGAACCAGCTTTTCACTCTAAAGAATAACAACAATAACAAGAAGAAGAAGAAGAAGAAGGAGACACACGAGACGAGTTTTCCGGTAGCCGAAAATTGTTTTTGCCTTTGTTGTGTATATATATAAATATATAAAAGAAAATGAAAAAGAAAAAGGTTCTAAACAATGCAACGAGAATATGTTAAATGTTATATATTTATGCAATTTATTATTAAAGTATTATTTTAAATAAAGCAAAAATTATGTGGTTAAACAATGAGCCTGAACATACGAGAATACCCGTTAACAAATCCTAACCTACGGTTCAACCACTCCTCAACTACAAAAAAAAAAACACCAGTGGCACCACCTTGCTCAGCGTCCGCGATAATGCACTATCTACTGACTCAGTGTCCAAAACTGAGGCCTTATCTAGCTGACTAGCAAAATGTTCGGGAGATAAGAGCTGAATGTGGTCTCGATGCCAACCGGGGAGTCGTCGTTTGTCAATTGTATTCAGTTATTCGCAAGGTATTGAATATGTCTGGCGAACGAGCGCAGCACAGACAGCGTCGGAACAGCTCGAACATGAGCACGGACTGCGCCATCGAGACCTCCACTGGGAACAAATTAAGATCTTCGCAAAAGTCACGCAGACGGGGTCGTCCATCCAGTCATGCTGCAATTGAAGGCAACCCGGAGATGAAGGGCTGGCTGCTGAAGTGGACTAATTACGTGAAGGGTTATCAGCGACGCTGGTTTGTGCTCTCCAACGGTGTACTCAGCTACTATCTCGATCAGTCTGAGGTTCATCAAACCTCGCGCGGCACGATAGCGCTCAAAGCTGCCGTCATCGAAAACGTGGACCATTGCACCTTTGCCATTTCCGATGGCAGCCAACAACCCTTTCGCATCAAAGCCGGAAGTGAGGTGGAACGAAAAAGATGGATTGCATCATTGGAGCTGGCCAAAACCACGGCCACACCAGCGAATGAAATCGTTTATCCACCTTCAACGGGTGGCCTCAACGAGGCCAGCGAGAAGCAGATGCCGATCAGGTGTCGGCGCACGCGTGTGCCGGAGAAGCCCAACTATCCGCTCAACCTGTGGACACTGATGAAGAACTGCATTGGCAAGGATCTGTCCAAAATACCTATGCCCGTCAATTTCAACGAGCCGATATCCATGCTACAGCGCCTGGTCGAGGATTACGAGTATTCGGAAGTGCTGGACACTGCCGCCGCCTGCACTGATGAGTGCGAGCAATTGGCTTATTTGGCGGCCTTTACAGTCTCCGCGTATGCGACGGCAGCGAGTCGCATCAACAAACCCTTTAATCCGTTGCTAGGCGAGACCTATGAATGCGACCGCACGGACGATCTTGGCTGGCGCTGCCTGGCCGAGCAGGTGTCGCATCATCCGCCCGTAGCCGCACTGCACTGCGAGAGCAAGGAGTGGGTTAGCTGGCAAGAGTTCTCCTTGACTAGTAAGTTCCGTGGCAAGTATTTGCAGGTAAGTTTTTTCGCATATGTAGCTGATTCATTTTCGTTACTCACCTTCCATTTTGGCTTGAGCAGGTAAATCCGGTTGGCGGCGCTTACGTTTCGTTCCCCAGCACCGGACGTCGCTATTGCTGGCGTCGTGTGACAACAACTGTGAACAACATTATCGTCGGAAAGCTCTGGGTGGATCTGCACGGAGAAATGGAAATCATTGGCAGCGATGCGGCGCTTGGATACAAGTGCATCCTAAACTATATACCATACTCATACTTCGGCCGTGAGGTGCAGCGCAGCATCAAAGGCGTGGTACTCAATCGCAATAAGGAGGCCAAATGGTTGCTGCGTGGCACCTGGGACGACAAAATCGAAATAGCACCTGTTCTGCACACCAGTGGCACAGCTAAGAGCCCCAGCTATACCACTGGCGAGTACAAGGTTGCCTGGCAGCGTCGGCCAGCTGCACCCGGATCGGAAAAGTTTTACAACTTCCCCACGTTTGCCTGTCAGCTAAACGAGCCGGAGGAAGGTGTAGCGCCCACGGACTCGCGCCTGCGACCCGATCAGCGTTGCATGGAAGAAGGCGCCTGGGACGAAAGCAACCAGGAGAAGTTGCGGCTCGAGGAGAAGCAGCGAGCGGCGCGAAAACAGCGGGAGGCGGAGGAAAAACAAGCGGCGGCGGAAGGACGATCCTATCCAGCATATGAGCCCATGTGGTTCAAGCGCGAGAGAGAGGAGGGTAGCAAAGAATTTGTGCACGTCTCCAAGAATACATATTGGAAGGCCAAGGCGGCCCAAGACTGGAGCGGTTGTCCGAATATTTATTAACAGCTGCGTTATAGACTTTTACAAAAAAAAAAAACAAGAACAATAGGACGGAAAATGCGCAATCAACCCACAATATCTAATCTGCAGACAAAGAACTCGTTTAGTCGTCTTCCGCCAAAAAAGACCTGAGCAATCGAACGAGAAATGTTATAAAATTTACGCAATTTATTGGTTAAGTATGATTTAAATAAAGCAAACTGTTGAGTTGTGGTTGAAACAGTCGTAAAGAGTCATCCATGTACATTCAGTAACACCTGCGGTATCGCCTTCCTCAATGCGCACGATAAGGCGTCGTCTGTTGACTCGGTAATCAGTTAATCCAACGCGACCAATTCGGCACCTCGATTTATTAATGCCAACCATTATCTAAACTAACTACTAACTAATGGTTAACAATAGATAACAGTGAATGCTGGTCACGATGGTAGCCGCAAGGGTGACGCTTTAATTGTGTTCGGTGGTTTGGGAAGTTATGAATATGTCCAATGATTTAAGTAGCGCCTCCACTGACGGATCACGACCTTGGAAGCGACGGAATACTTCCGCCGTGGGCACAGAGCCGCCATAACTGAGGAACGTTTGCTTATAGCGTTTACCCACTGTGGCGTAGTGTTCGTCGTTGCGCTGCTCCGCAAATGAGCTCGAGATGTCGGCGGCAATTAGCTTGGAATACAAATGACTAAAATGTGCCGCCGCCCAGTCGCCGGCGAAAATGTCGGTCATGGAGCAGGGATGTGCGTCTTTCTTGTCGAGCGGCATACAGTGATATACTGGCCAAATTTTGCGGACAATATCCAACCAAAAGGCGCCAGAGCGATGCAATTCAACGTCCAGATCGGCCAAATACAATTCCTGGCACAGATTGTACCCTGACAGCTGCGTTTTCAGCAGGCGCGTCTTTTGGGCAAGCTCAGCATCAATGATCTGATCGTTGGCATAATGACCGGACAAAGTCTGCAGCACTGCAGCGTCGTCCAGGAAGTTGCTCATCACATAACCCGACACTTGCGAGGCATCCCACTCAATGTTGGATAGACCCGCCAGTTCGCTGTAGCCCGCTTGCGTCAGCAGATGCTGTAGCGCCGTGCCAAAGGTCTTGAATACCATTTGCAAATCCTCGAAGCCCAAAAGCGTGGGCTTGCCCTGCGTCGGCTCTGTAAAGTTAAAGATGAGTGCGCAGAGTGGGGTGAGGCCAGCTGTTTTGTTGCTATTGCGTATGCCCACCATCCAGCCATTGTTACGGCCAAATTTATGCTCCTTGGAATAGCAATCCACATAGAAGCCGCCCACGGGCGTTGAACTGTTGCTGGCATCGCCATCGTACACATTAAAGAACTTGACAGCCGGATGCCACACCTCTGTCTTGGGCTGCTCCACAATGCGTATGTTGAAGAGCTTTTCGCTCAGCGTAAAAAGTCCGGAGAGCACGCGCGGCAGGGGAAAGTACTCTCGCAGCTTGTCCTCCACCAGCTGATGCTCGGCGGCAAGCTGTTTGCGTGCCCAGTAGCTAACGTCGTAGGCCTCCAGTTTGTGTTCGGCACCATTTAAACTGGCAAACTTTTGCAACTCCTCAAGTTCTACACTCTGAGCGGGACCCGCAAATTTCAGAAGCTTGGCAAAGATTTGCTTCAGATTATCCACACTGCCAATCATTTTGGTTTGCATGGACATGTCTGCGTAGTTGGTATAGCCCAACAGATTGGCCTGGCGCTTGCGTAAGCCGCGTATCTTCTCCAGATGCGTACTGTTCTCTAGTGCTTTATCCTGTTGCTGAGATGCTTTTAGAGCATTGGCGCGCCACACATTCCAGCGCTGCAGACGATCGGGGCAGTATTTGAGAAAGCCCTCAACAATTGGCGGCTGAAGCGTTATTTTCCATGGACCTTCGAGTGGTTGACTGGGATCCCGGGCGGTGGCCTCGAGCAGCGTTGGCGGAAAGTCGCGAACCAGCTGGAAGTCATTGACCACATGCGCAAATGCGTGCACAGCCATATTAACTTTATTTTTGAAGTTACCACGCTCACGTCCCAGCTGCGTAAGCAATTCCTTGAGACCATCTTGACCGTCCTTGCTCAGCGATAGGCCATTTAATTTGCCCTCGAGTAAAAACTTTTGGCGCATACGTTGCTCAGCTTCACCTGCTTGATCCTCTTGCTGCAGCAGAGCCGTGTACACTGTTTTGTTGCAGAATTTGGCAGCACGTGCATTGCGCGCACGTTCGTGTATGTTCATATAAGACTTGGTGGGTATCAGCGTGCTGTTGCCCAGGTAGAGCGCTTTGGCCACACCCCAGGTGGTCTCCAATGGCGCACTAACTGCATCCAGTTCGCTGTATATATCGGCGCCTTTGAGCTGCTTGCCGCTTTTGATATCCTGCTCAAGCATTTTGATCGACT